TATGTATGTATGTATGTATGTATGTATGTATGTATGTATGTATGTATATATATATATATATATATATATATTTGCTGAACATATTTTGTTCTGATTTTCATGTTGACTAATTTGACTGAATTATACACGTTTAGTTTTTTTTTGTCAGTATGCAATTAGCAATGGATTTGTGTAGAGTTTGGTAGATTTGCTTTTCTACATTCCCACAGTAAGCAAAAAAATTAATAATGAAGAAAAAATATGCTACAAGTAGATTAGGTTTAGCACATTAGCGTGTAAAAGTAAAAGATCAGGAGTGTTCTGCTAGTCCTCAGAATTGTGCAGTGCTTGATAAAAAGGGCTGTTTTCTAAACCTTGTCTAAGCAATAGTAAAAAAATAAAAATAAAAATCTGTTACCTGTATTTCATTGCTGCCCTGACAAAACTTATTTTACCAAATTTAAGTGGAGGGTCTAAATGCATAATGTAGATACATGTTTTCTTGATTTAATATCTGTAGATAAATGAATTAAATAGTTCATATAAGAATGTGACATTAAAAAATATATTCATGTAGATGGTCTCTCTTACCACCACCCGCAGCATCTTCTTAACACCATCATAAACAGATGAGTGGTGAACAGCTGCTTTGACCTCAATGCTGTGTTCTCCTTCCTTCATGGGAATAATGACAAAAGGCACTGATCGTGTGGTATGGGGCCCAATTCTGACCACCTGACGGTACTTTCCACGCTTGTAGGCTGCACTGCAAACATTCTTTTCTTCTATTAGTTCCACTCGAGCCTTGGAAAGAAGACAAAGACATAGAAAGACACATGCATACATAAACAACAAGATTTTTACACCCACATATTTTTTTTTAAACCCTGAACTCTGTTCAGAGTTCATAAAAACTGGTTCCTATATTTTATGGCCAACAGGCAAATGGAGAACAGGTCACTAGTCCGTCACAGAACCACATACATACACACAGGACACACACTTATGCATGCACACATTCACAACTAAGGTACATTTAAAATATCTGTTGCTTGCAATATATACATTTTATTAACATGCATATATATGCAGTGATAAAAACCAGGGAGAAATAAGCTCTACACAAAAAGGGACTTGACTTAATTGACCCTGAATAATTTTTATTTAAATGTAACAGCACTAACTACTATACAGCTGTGCCCTAATCATTTTTTTCCTATGTTATTAGGGTAATCATTAAAATGTATCCAGGAATGAACATTGAAAAAAGCATTGACGGTACAATTTCTTTGATCTTAAGGACAAAAACAAAATAAGGTGAATCATGCCATAATACATTTATTATTATAGCTTATGTAGCGCTCGTACCATGTAGCTAAAAAGTTAATCAATAGGTTTGATTGAAATGTAGTACATTGGTCAGGGCCCTGGGAACATTATTTTAAAGAAAGCTGTACTAACAGCTTACAGGAGATACAACTTACTGTTTATACTGTATTTAGTTTAATAGCGGTACCTCCACTTAGCAGGAAATTATTAATTTATACCTTGTTTGACCCAATAAGAATTTAATTCAGATAACTGTATGTGTATATTAAATACACTCCCTTGGAATACAAAAACACTTAAAATAACTTTAAAATAAGACACTGATGCCTGATTTAAATTTAGAGACACTTTTGTAAGAAAATAAAGTGTAAATGAAATAAGTAATTTGTTGCAGAAATACAAATAAAAACGAAAACAACTTCTCACAGTACTTTCAGTTCTATTGTTTGAAACCAAATATTTGCAGTCCAAATGACCCCTTAATATTTCAAGTAAGGCTTTTCAAACTTAAATTAAACACCAAAATAACCTGTTGCAGGCCTGAATCGATGTTTGGGTGCGTGGGAGCTAAAAACAAACAGCTCGTTCGCTCACTGAGCAAAGTAAAAAGCACGTGCATTGGTTTAGTTTTGTTCTCACAAATCCTTCAGAGTTTGAGATTGGATCGGGAAACGTTAGATGAGGAGATCTCTTTAATATGGCACTGAGCAAAGTAAAAAGGGCAGGTGATGTCACACGAACACAGAGATCCTTCCTGGCAGCAACCTCACAGATGGTAACCAGTCAGCTGAATGGGGAACTTCTAACTTCTCCAGCAGGTCCAAAGAATAGTTCCTGGTCCACTTTCATATGCTTCTTAAAGTCCATTACAGTCGGCAACTCTGCATTAACCGTTGTATTGGACAGTTTTGCTCTGTTACTGTCCCACATCCGAGCCGCGTGAGCTCTGCACTTGTCTGCCCTTCACACAGACTCACATTTCATGCAGCGTACCATTAATCCCACCCACTCCCATCTGGTCAAATTGCCATTTGGGCAAAATAAAACGCTTAATCCAATACAAAACAAAACTGAACAAGACTGACAGCACAACTCAAAGGGTAGGTTGTGAAACATCCACATGGCACCATGTGCATCACTCCTTATACAAACTTATTCAAGGAACGTAGTAAAAATGACAACTGTCTGTTTTAGTCTGCTTAAGCTAGATTTTCTTGAGCAAATATGAACTGTTTTTAAAATAATACATTTTTAAATGACAACATAATTTTTATCTTTCATATTTATTCCATTTTCATCACCTAGACACCGTTTTTAAAACTTATATCACTGTGAATCTAGTCCAATACTTAGTCTGTACTATATAGCACAGTTCAAACTGGGCTACACTGAGTTTGAGTTTCAGTGTAAAACGATAAATTTGTGACTTACAGAGATGGGATCAGGGCTGTAGTTGTGGAGGATTGCTTTGATTTCTAGCTGCTCCCCACGAACAGCGGAATAAGGCAGCCGGAGATCAATGAAGAATTCCTTACGGACAATTACCTCCAACGGTTCACTGACACAGATTCCTTGAAGATGAGAGACAGCACACAATTGATGAAACAACGGAAGAGAATGGATTTTCAAGCAATTGTCAAGTTGCAACAGAAACACGTAGCTGTAGTTGTGGACTCCTCACCAGATGTTCTTGACAGGCTGATGCCAGTTAACTGCCAGGTTGTGATTGAGTCGGGCAAAGGAACATTATGCGTAAACGACGTAGACACACTGTAATAAAGACAAGTGTAACGTTTGAAGCAAAAGCAGTTCTACATGGCAAGAGTTTAAGAAATTATGTTCAGTGATTGTGTTAGTGAGTGTGTGCAAATTGTACAACAGGACAATTCAGCTCAATTGCTCAGGGGGGCACAAATACAGCAGCTCAAGGGCTGGAGTCATTACATACAATTAAATTACAGTTTCAAATAAAGTTTTATTTTATGTAGCACTTCATCTGCAAATAACAACCAGATACAGTGCCTTGGGCTCCCTGTGTAGTGTAACTTTTCAAGTTGCAATATTAACTCATTATCTCACCCACAAACGAAACAAGTTCATACTATTTAACACTTATTTAGCAAAAAAAAAGAAGAAAGAAAAAAGAAAAAAATCTACAGCACACCCAAACTTTTTAAATTAGCACAAAATGAACTTTGTAGCAGCGGCACGGTGGTACAGTTGGTAGACCTGTTGCCTCTCAGCGAGGTCGCTGGTTCAAATCCTGGCCAGGAGCCTTTCTGGGTGGAGTTTGCATGTTCTCTCTGTTCATGTGTGGGTTTTCTCCGGGTACTCCAGTTTCCTCCCACAGACCAAAAACATGCATGTTAGGCTGATTGGTAACTCTAACTTGTCCCTAGTTGTGAAAGAGAGAGTGAATGGTTGTTTGTCTCGTTTGTGTCCTTGTGATGGACATGCAACATGTCCAGGGTGTCCCCCGCCTCTCACATATGGGCACCAATGACCCCCACAACCCGAAAAGGAAGAAGCAGGTAAAGATAATGGATGGATGGATGAACTTTATAGCACATAAATTAATTCAAACTGTAGTAATCTAAACAAATAACAGGTATGTTGCAAATTTCTCTGCTTGAACACCCCACCACACACACACACACACACACACACACGCACGCACGCACGCACGCACGCACGCACGCACGCACGCACGCACGCACGCACACACACACACAATAAACACATCCTAATGTTAAAATGTTTTTTCACACTTTGTTCAAACAGATAAACATAAGCCCTGCAGTAACATTGCATTAGTGCATCTATTTCCAATATCAAACAAAACACTGGTGCTGCAGTGACCACAGTAAAATGTCTTATTTAATGGGCCTCAATAAAAAGGGAAAGAAATTAAACAAAAAGCTGGAAAACCCTCCAAAAATAACCCATCATTGCAGGTCTGATTGTATTCAATTTAGGATGATACCGCTGCTCCTGGAGGATGCAGAAATACTCTAATCAGCACCTGTTCACTATCCGTCCTCTCCTGACACACATCAGCATCTCTCTGTTCTACTCCACAGGGCCCAAACCATCCACTCTCTTCTACCTTCCAGTCCATTTTATGTCCTGTTAGATTTGTGCTAACCCCAATGGCAGCACGAGTGTATCCTCCTCTCTCAGTTCTCTTTTCTTTTCGTTTTTTTTTCCACACTTTTTCCATCCCGCCCCTCAACAATCACAATCCTGGAATCATGAAGGGGTTACATCTAAGTTATTCATCGGCAGGCGGACTGAGCTGTACAGCCCTATCGTTGATCGTCTATGACTGGATCACATTTCTGTTGGAAATATTTGTCATTTAAGTTGTTGTAAATGTTTCTCTCACAGATAATTATTTGAAATTTAGTTTTCTTCCAAACAAATTTATTAGTACGCTGAATTTATTTAAGCCATGGGACAGATGTGGCCCCTGGGCTGCAAGGTGAATTGCTCTGTTGTACAACCTTAAAATGACTCACCAGTTAGGACAATGTGGAAAAGTGAAGTTTAACCACAGCCAACTTTCAGGAAAGTTGGTACGAGAAACTATGTTATGGCTGTCAATGTAAGTGTCATCATCCTCACCTAAAATGTTAGCACATACAATATCAGTTTTTTTATTTAGCATAATGTGTATGTCTCACATTGTCTTGTTTCTTACTGCGAGCTAAAATAAGGTTTTCTTCTTTCTTATCGAATATCTGGTGTTTCATCTCCTTGCAGCAGTTCAGGAAGGCATCTACACAGGCTTGACCATCCAAAATGTACTCTGCTCTCCGTTCACACGTGTACGAAAGTGGGATTTCCTTCATACCATCCAAACAACATTTCCGCTGCTGTTCATTCTCATACTGACTCACTGGGAAGAAAAAGTGGTTCTGGATGAAATAATGGAGTGAGTCCAAACATCTAGATTATGATAGGTGGATGACTTTATGTGTATATTTAGACCAGTGTTTCATACCCAGGGTGTTTCTGACCTCCATTATAGTTGTAGCTCGCTTATGTCTGGGTGACGTCTTACAATTCAACTCTGCAAACCATCAGAGATTAGATTGTTAAAAAAACAAATGATTAAAAACAGTCTATTCATTCAAACTGAAATTGCAGACATAAATGAAACTTAAGTATTGAAAGCCTAGCATTATTTGAAGGATGGCGTATCACCATCTTTCATGGCAGTTTTAAACTAAGATTGTCTTGTTCTGAGAAGGAACAGAGGTATAGTTGATTTTCTCAGACTACCGGTATTCAAATTACATTTTGTGCACGCCTGGGAAAACTTGCAAAATGTGTTAGCACTCAGCATATTTGTTGAGAATGTCTCTCAGCTACAACCGTACAAACTTTAGCCTTATATTTGCACATTTAATTGAGTTAGATCAGTTTTTGTGTTGGCTGAGGTCTGTTGCTTGTGATCACCATACTTGATTTTGGTTCACTCAACAAGTAGAGTTTTTGTACTATTCAATGAAAATGTACAGTATGTCCAAATAATCCTATGTGAAAGTTTAATTAAAACCCATCACTGTTTCAGAGATATTTTGCTAACAGTCATACAAGGTTGACTGCAATAATTCAATGGCTGGGAATTATGTGCAAAATGTTAGTGCCTGAAGTTTGTATTGGAGATCACTCTCAGCTACTACTCCAACCCCAAATTTTGGTTCATTTTAGATTCATTTTAATTAGATTTAATTCTGGGCAACGCGGTGGCGCAGTTGGTAGAGCTATTGCCTCTCAGGGAGAAGGTCGCCAGTCCAAATCCTGGCCAGGGATCTTGCTGGGTGGAGTTTGCATGTTCTCTCCATGCTTGCGTGGGTTTTCTCCGGGTACTCCGGTTTCCTCCCACAGACCAAAAACATGCATGTTTGACTGATTGGTAACTCTTAATTGTCCCTAGATGTGAGTGAGACAGTGAATGGTTGTTTGTCTCGTTTGTCTCTATGTGTTCCTGTGATGGACTGGAGACCTGTCCAGGGTGTTCCCCGCCTCTTGCACAGTGACTGCTGAATATGGGCACCAGTGACCCGAAAAGGAAGAAGAGGGTAAAAGATAATGGATGAATGGATAGATAACTCTAAGAGAAGATGAAGGATAATCACCCTTTCTGTAGGGAGTTTCGAAATTGGAGCTGGACATAAACATCAGCCCAGCATCAAAGAACACGTTCATATGGTTGCTTCCTCTACCAGGCGTGCAGCCGGTGTCATACTTCTCTACAAGGTCCCACACCTGCAGGGCAAACACATTTGAAATTAGGATTTATAAAAAATAAAATATAATTCTTAATCTCAGTAAACATTATTCAGTTATTTAAAAAAAAAAAGCAAAATAGAAATGACTTTTTTCTGGCTGAGACGGTGCTTATTGTTTAGAACATAGACTCCTTTGTCCACTGCAACCAGTCCCACTGTGGCACCAGGATCTCCTGTGACTCCCAGACCAAACATCCTGCGAGGCTCATAGGAGGGAACCGCTCTTGATGATTTTAAAGTCAACTACACGTGAAGAAAAGCAGAGCAGTAAATATTGTAAATATGCTCCTTATATGACTAACATCTTTGCGCTTTGTTTTAGTGCTGTTAGTTCAATGTTGTGTGTCTCACCGATCCCATGCAGGAGTCTTTTACATCCACCCAAACTGAGTCTGACACCACTTCATTATCCGTTGGATGGTAGTAGGCTATGATGCGGAATGATGGTAACATCTCTTTGGTGACAGGAAGTGTGAGGCCAATTTGTGTTTCTTTGCTTGTTTGGTAACGCTCAGACTTCACCAGTTGGCCTCTGCTTGTGATCTGAGCACACAGAACTTCTCATTAGGACATATCAAGTATACGTGTACAGTTCAGAAGAGAAAAGTCCATGCATGCAAAGCATCTCTCACCAGGAATGTGATGTACTTTGATTGACTTTGTGGATTATTGATCCTGATGTCAATGTTCAGATCGTCTCCTACTTTCACCTCAGCTATCCGAATGCCTTCAAATTGGAAAAGTTGTTGTGTTAAAAGATTTATTCCATGACTCCTGAAGTCCTTGCTCTAAGTTAATGTAACTTCTCTGTCAGCATGATGTTACTGACCTTTTACAAATGTGTAAAATCAGGCACCACACCCCCAAATAGTTACTTAGCTATGCCCTTTACTCTTGGTTTTTTTAATTGACTTTTGTATATAAACATATTTGTTAAGTAATTTTAATGGTGTTTTATGTTGTGAGTGCAACTTGCAGTGTTGTCGGGTGCCTAAATTACTACAGAGCACAGTTGAAACAGAGATAATGAACTTTGTTTAGACTAAATGTATTTCAACAAACTGGAAGTACTTTGTATATATTAAACTATTTAGACCACAAAGCATCACAAAATACAGATTTTGATGCATGCACATAAGTAACCGTAAAAAGGTATATTGCAATACTTATGTGGATGTAATTGTTGCTGCCAGTGGTAAAAGAGGAAGCTGTCATACTGGCTGATGCTTGTCTTTCATTTGTAATCAAAGGTTCATTTGTCTTTGCCTGTAATTTAAAGCAAACAAATACAAACTTATAGATGGTGATGTTAGAAACAAGTGGACGTACAGATAGGCACATTTTCTAAGCAAAGCCTCATTTTTGTCCTTGTTGCTGTTCAAGTTACTTTCGTAATGATTTTTGAAAATTATTACACAACATTAATTTGATTAAGTTAGCTTACAATGATTGTTAAATTGCTTTGTGTTGTTTTTGTATTGACAACAAATCTTGCAATGCCACTGGCTGCTGTGTTGGTCGTTGCTCCACCAGGACTGAGCACCACTGGAATACCTACAGCTGGACTGTCATCAGGATTCACCACTTCAACCTGCCATTAAATAATAAAAACATTAATCAGACCACTGCTGTTTGCACTTGTAACTAATTATAGATTGTCATATAAATGAATGTGTAATGCAAAACTGATGGTTGTATTAAGATTTATAAAATAAATGACAGACAACAGTAATTTACTGCAGCCTTGGACCCATATACTGTAGCTGTTAGCTTCTCAGTCTGGTCTGAATTCAATTGTATTTATCCAAACTGACACACAAAAAAAAAAACATTTGTTTTTGTTTGTTATAATCATTTATAGGCTTAAGTCTTTCCTTTTTGATAATCCTATTGTTAGGGTTGGCTTAGGTTTCCTGAGCTATATACATGGCTTAATTTGTAAACGATTGATGCCAGAAATTTTTTAATAAAGTAGATGTGATTTCCTGCATTTTGGGGTATGTTAACGGGTTATTGAACATCTACGTTTTCCTAAATTTGTAAACACTCCGCTTCTGTCAAGCATCCTACCCCCCTCCTACCTTACTTGACGGTTCTGAGCCCAACACTGTCCCTGCTTGTTGTTGTCTGACTCCACATGTGAAACCTCCAGGCGCCTCCTCCTCAACTTGCATACTATCTTTCATTCAACCTTTATTTAAACTGGTTAGTCCCATTGAACTTCGGGGGCTCATTTACAAGAGAGCCCTGTGGGCAGCTCGGCACTCACCCCCACCACTCTTTTAAGGGCGGAGATTATTTTAAGGGTAGAGGCGGAAATGCTACTTGAAGGGGCAGCTCGTATGCTTAAGGCAGTTCAAGGCAGTCATATTTGTTCGTAATTTTATTATTTTTAAGCTTGAGAGTTACCGGATCCAAGCAAACAGTTACCAGAACGCACTCTGTCAGAATAAGAGAGTTCCTGGATCCTGTTCTGGTAGGATCCAGCTCAAATTAAGCCCTGGAGCTATCCCTTTGTTATGCTGCTATAGGCTTAAGGCTCCAGTATACTCTCGCAGACCTTTATCCGTACGGACTCGACGTGCACTGTCCGCAGAGAGTTGAGACTTCATACTCGAGCGTCCACCATGAGCGGCTGCAGACCAGCTCTACAGGCAAGGGGCGTTTACCTTTGGGACAAACTGAGTTTGCCGATTGATGATCATTTGCTGACACGCCTACTGGGTTGATTGACAAGTCACAAAATAAAATAAAAAACGAGCTGGCAGCAAGCGACATTGGTGTTCTGTGTTTATATGGTGTTAATAAAAAGTTGTAAAAAAACAAAAAATGAGAGCACTGGCCCTGCAGCCCACACATCAGACCACCCCACCAGGAATCTCCAGACCCTCCTGCAGCCACGCTGGACCTGATTTTAATTAGCTCGTGACAAATTCCTTCATTTCTCACCATTTCAGTCATGGCATCAACGGAGGAGGAGGAAGAGATTGCTTGCCTCTTGGCCAAAAAACAAAATTAAAGGCCATTAAACCAGACCACGGATGAAGAAGGGGAATTTAATACATTGGTGTCGCATACAAAACTGTCCGTTGCTGGGCAGTTTATTGTGCGACACCAAGTACGCAGTCGTAAAAATTGAGATTTGCATGGACATGCCCTGTGGGTGTCCGCTTCGACTATAATCCGGTATGCAGGGACCTCCGTGGACTGACGTACGCCCGAATATACTAGAGACTTTAGACTGCTGGATGACAAACTGACCACATTTCCTCACTTTGCTGCTGTCTTTACTCTACTCTACCTGTTTTGTAATTATTTCTACCGTAACATGTGTTTTTGTCTTTTTTCCAATAGGGAGTACACCTGAACCTGTCATTCTCTTTGTTTGTTTCTCTTTCCTGTCCTCTCAAACCCTAGCCGGTCGAAGCAGATGGCTGCTCGTCCTGAATTTGGTTCTGTGGGTTTCTTCCTGTTAAAAGGGAGTTTATCCTTTCTACTGCTGCTTTTGTGCTTGCTCAGGATGGGAGACCGCAACGAAGTGAAGATTCAATGCAATCTGCTAGCTTCTTTGAATAAATAACTTTTACTAATTGGCTTGTTTTATGCGTGAATGTTTTTGTACAGTGCCCTGAGACAACTTCTGTTGTGACTTGGAGATACAGAAATAAACTGAATTGAATCAACAGTGGAAACACATCTACACTTTGCTGACTTAAAATGAAAAACAACTTTGGTTGTTTACCGTAACGTCAAAGTACAATCCTGATTTGAAATATTTTGGAGTTTTTTTAAAACTGATTCTGTAGGGGGATGTGACGATCTGGATCCCTCTTATCTCCGCCTCCACCATTTCACTTCCTGTGATGGGAAAATGAACACATGTACACAAGTGCTGTTTAATCGTTTGCTGTAAAGAGGTCACTGAATTAAAAACAGCAGTATATGCAAAATTGTCAGTTCACAAACTGCTTATTTCTCAGTAAATTTCAATTCTGAACATGAAAGACAATTCATTCAGTTGTTTAAATATATTAGAAATAATGAATAAAAGAAGTGAAGTTTAACTCTAATGGAAAAGCTGAACACCAGTGCCTGTTATTGTTTCTGCTCTCGTTTTCTTTGGAAGAATAGCTTTTTTCCATTTTTTTAATATACAAGCCTCCTCACGTGATTTTCTTTTTCAGCTTTTGGTTTCTTTGACTTTTTATATCTAAATGATTATATAATGTTTTTGAGTCAACAAAGTCCATGCTCAATAATCCAGGTATACAATCCAACAATTTTCAGTCAGGTCATCTGGACAGTTTCTTTTTTTGTGCTGAAAAATTTCACCTTCCATCCAGAAGGCTTCATCAGTCAAGGAAACACACAACACAAAATTAATTCTTCCCCCAACAGTTTATTCCAAAGTGGAACAAGCCAGTTATGTTGGTGCTAAGATGGTCTCTTTGAACACGCCCCCTCCTCCAGTGCTGGCCCTCTTCCTCATCGACAGTTGTGTCAAACTGTCCAGATGACCTGACTGAAAATTGTTGGATTGCATACCTGGATTATTAAGTATGGACTTTGTTAGGTTTGAACCAGTTTGACACAACTGTCGATGAGGAAGAGGGACAGCATTGGAGGAGGGGGCGTGCCAAAGAGACCATCTTAGCACCAACATAACTGGTTTGTTCCACTTTGGAGAAAACTGATGGGGGAAGAATCAGTTTTGTGTTGTGTGTTTCCTTGACTGATGAAGCCTTCTGGATGGAAGGTGAAACGTTTCAGCACAGAAAAAGAAACTGTCCAGATGACCTGACTGAAAATTGTTTGAATCCTTTTGAGTCACTTTACTAAACAAACAATCAAAGTTCATTCAAAAATATTGTATTAAACCGGCAAAAATCAGGTAATGCCTGTCTCTTACTGCTCTCTGTCAGCACACTGACAGCCACATATATGGAGGTGCCCACAAGACTATTGATATCTGTAAAAGTCTGAGTGATCTGTTCCCTTCTCAGTGTGGCCCGTCCTTCTCCATTTTGGACCTAAAACAAAAACAATGAATTGTTAGCCTGATTTTGAGTAAACATGTTACACTCCTACTAAATTTGAACGGGATAAGAAACTTTGTGCGACTTCTCACCGGCACTCTTGACAGAGAGTGAGGGAGGCTCTTCTTCACACCGTTCTCCATAATTCCAAACACAACATAGGCCGTCCCATCGACTTCTTCTCCAAACAAATACCTACAACCAAAACACATGGACAGTTTAAGGTTATTCTTTGAAAGCAACAAATCTGACCAGATCACATGGAATAAAAAAACCTTCACATACATAGCTTTAATGTTGATGGTAAGGTCTTCACTGTCCACATAGAAGAAGGGCTTCTCGGATGACAGTTTAACCTCAAAGCTGGGAAGCACTAAATGAAATCAAACAAAACTAGTTACTGTGAGTTCCACAATGGTGAACTGTAATTAGATGTCAAATAGCACAGATGATAGTGAAACATTTACCATATTCCTTGACCTCAAACTCTGCAGAGAACCTTTGCTGTGGGTTGCTTTGGAACTTTGTCACCACTTTCCACATTCCAGGACTGCACAGAGAACACATAATCACTATATTAAAAAATGTGTTCAATATTTTCATATTTTAGCCAGAGAAGACAGATGGTTTGAGAGGGGGTGAAGGAAGACATTGACAGAGGAGGAAGTCTCAGATTTTAACTTTCAAAATCTTACTATGCAGCATTAGGCCCGATTCCAGGTCAGATCCACTCTAATCCACTCCTTCAATTCAATTAAATTTAATTAAAAATACTTTATTAATCCCAAAGGAAAATTAAACGTTGTTGTAACTCATCATCCTGGTTTCGTTAAAGAGTTGTTCTAGATGCTGATGGCTATGTGATCAGCTCTGCAAGGTGCTGGCAGACATCTTTATCTCCTCACTTACCCTGGCAACAGTTCCCACTTGCGTGAAAACTGCCACCATCATCCCAGTCCCAAAGAATTCTACAGTGACTGGTCTGAATGACTACTGGCCAGTAGCCCTCATCCCGATAGTCACTAAATGCTTCGAAAAACTGGTCATGACTCACATCAAAACAACCATCAACATCAATGAGGACCCTCATCAGTACGCATACCACGAGAACCAATCAACAGAGGACGCCATTTCCTCTGTGGTCCACATTGCTCTCATCCACCTGGAGCAGAAGGACTCCTACGTCCATATGCTCTTTGTGGACTTCACATCTGTCTTCAACACCATGATCCCCCAAACCTTGATGAACAAACTATTCACACTAGGACTAAGCCCCTCCATTTGCAACTGGGTCCTAGACTTCTTAACAAACAGACCAGAGTCAGTGAGGATCAACAACTTCTCCTCCTCCACCATAACCCTCAGCACTGGCTCCCCTCAGGGATGTGTGCTGAGCCCCCTCCTGTTCACTCTGCTCACATATGATTGTGCAGCTACCCATCCTGGCTGTCACATTGTAAAGTTTGCAGATGATACAGCGGTGGTGGGATGCCACAAAAACAACGATGAGTCCAGTTACAGGCAGGAGGTGGAACACCTGGAGAGCTGGTGCAAAGAGAATAACCTTCACATCAATGTGAAGAAGACAAAAGAGATGGTCATGGACTTCAGAAGGAACAAACACACCTACACCCCCCTGAACATAGGAGGATATGCAGTGGAAGTGGTCTCCAGCTAGAAGTACTTGGGTGTACACCTGAATGACAACCTCAGCTGGAGTAACAACACTACCAGCCTGATCAAGAAAGATAATCAGAGACTCTACTTTCTCATGCGGCTGAGATGAGCTGGTCTGGGAAGCTCAGTCCTCACCTCCTTCTACAGGTGTGCAGTGGAGAGCATCCTGTGCTCCAGCATCAACGTGTGGCATGGAGGCTGCACAGCTGCAGAAAGAAAAGCTTTACAGAGAGTGGTGAAGGCTGCACAGAAGACTGTTGGAGTCAGACTCCCCACCATCACAGACATTTACACCTCTAGATGCAGGAAGAGGGCCACCTGCATCATGAAGGACCCCACTCACCCAGCACACACACTTGTTGCCCCAATCCCCTCAGGAAGGAGGTTGAGGAGCATTAAGTGTAGAACCACTAGACTGAGGAACAGCTTCTACCCTGAGGCTGTTACTCATGAATCTCTAACCAGAATAAATGTCACTTTAACTCAGTCCTTCACAAATAGTGGGGCGCGCCCCCCTTGGGGGGCCCGGAGCAATGTTAGGGGACGCGCATGTGACCCCGAAGAACATTTTGGGCAGGGAGTAATAATAATAAAGTTATGAACAAATGTCTGTCTTGTCGTTTGGGGAGCCACGATTGAACCGTGTCGCTTCCCTCTGCTGCGGAGCAGCTGGTGACGCTCGTCACCCACAGCACGCGTTACCTGCAGCACGCGTTACCTGCAGCACGCGTTACCTGCCCCTCTTCCTCTTTCACTTTAACATTTTTTTTGGTTTGATTTTTTAGTTGTCAAAGCACAATTTTGATGCTTTTTTAAATACAGAAGTAATGTTTAATAAATGTTAGGACTTTATTCTTTGCTAACAAGTCCTCCGCTCTGGACACATTTCACCCACAGCACACAGCAACAAAGAGTTTAAACTCAAAGTGAGAGTGACACTTGCCCCCTCTTTCACATTGACAACATTTTTTAGTTTTATCGATTGTCAAAGTACAATTTTATTTGTTGGAAAAACGTATGTTTAACAAATGCTAGGACTCTATTCTTTGCTAACAAAATATATTTTGTCATTAAACAACTTGTCAGGTTCTTCTCTTGTGAGCGCTTCCCCTGGACCCCCC